ACTAGACAACCCTATATATGGCATTTCTAATCATCTGTAAAAATATATCTCATTGAAATTAATACTCATTTATTGAATACACCTTTCAAATATATTATAACTAATTAAAAATATTCAACTAAATAAAATACTTAATTTCTCCCTGAATGCTGGCCTGTCTCCAGAATAACAATGCCATATACATAATACACAATTTGCAAATGCTCCATCATGCAACTTCCAAACAAACTTTTCACCAATGTTACACAACCATACACATTCCGGCATTATCCGCTATCACAACATCGGAAACCAATCTAGCATTCATTGATCAACGGTTTACTGAAATGTCACTAGGATTAACAGTACATTCAAATAGCAAAATGTGAATATTTACTTTAAACATTTTTTTTAATTTAACTTATTACAAATTATATTTATTTCTTTTTAAGTCATATGGCGACATTCAATCTAAATTGGTAAATGACATATTGCTGGTATATACATTATTTCTAACAACAGTAGGTATTTAAGTAAAACCATCTTAAAGAAGCTTGCAAGTCAAACTACAACTGACAAAGCTATGGGAATTTCCTCGTCCAAGCAAAAGTCTAGACCATTATACAAAAATGGAAAACAGCAATAATTATAATGACGTATTTATTTGAGTCTACAGGGATTTCTAACCCTCTTTTATGAACATAACCATGTCTCTTTACCTTTAATGACAACTCCCCGTGACATCAAAGAGCAAGTTTTACCTAACAATACACCGTGTTCATCTCTCTCCACACTGAAACAACTTCCAATCTTACAAATCTGCCGGCACAGAGGTGTAGAAAGCTGCCCCAAACACGACTGCTTCTTGCGAGTATATCAGCACCGGGACTCTCGAAGAATCGATACTAGTCTTGATCAACTTCCACAGTGTCTGCCAAGTCCTTCATTGCTCCAGTAGTCACATCGTTTACGCCACATGGGAACTCTCCAGCTTTATTTGCAGATGTGTCCCTAAGTGCAATGTATGTTATAGACAAGGGGCGCGGACAATTATCTCAAAATATAAATATTTACTTTATCGAAATAAACTTTTTAAACTCAACATATTACAATTTATTTGTTGGTTTTTAAGTCATATGGCGACACTCCAGATCTTTTGGTACATGAAACTGTTTGTCTAAATGCAACGTTTCAGGCAAGTTGTACCACAGTAGAACCATTTAACTTCCTTTTGCAAGCTAACTAGACAACCCATATATGGCATTTCTAATCATCTGTAAAATATATCTCATTGAAATTAATACTCATTTATTGAATACACCTTTCAAATATATTATAACTAATTAAAATATTCAACTAAATAAAATACTTAATTTCTCCCTGAATGCTGGCCTGTCTCCAGAATAACAATGCCATATACATAATACACAATTTGCAAAATGCTCCATCATGCAACTTCCCAACACAAACTTTTCACCAATGTTACACAACCATACACATTCCGGCATTATCCGCTATCACAACATCGGAAACCAATCTAGCATTCATTGATCAACGGTTTACTGAAATGTCACTAGGATTAACAGTACATTCAAATAGCAAAATGTGAATATTTACTTTAAACATTTTTTTAATTTAACTTATTACAAATTATATTTATTTCTTTTTAAGTCATATGGCGACATTCAATCTAAATTGGTAAATGACATATTGCTGGTATATACATTATTTCTAACAAACAGTAGGTATTTAAGTAAAACCATCTTAAAGAAGCTTGCAAGTCAAACTACAACTGACAAAGCTATGGGAATTTCCTCGTCCAAGCAAAAGTCTAGACCATTATACAAAAATGGAAAACAGCAATAATTATAATGACGTATTTATTTGAGTCTACAGGGATTTTAACCCTCTTTATGAACATAACCATGTCTCTTTACCTTTAATGACAACTCCCGTGACATCAAAGAGCAAGTTTTACCTAACAATACACCGTGTTCATCTCTCTCCACACTGAAACAACTTCCAATCTTACAAATCTGCCGGCACAGAGGTGTAGAAAGCTGCCCAAACACGACTGCTTCTTGCGAGTAATATCAGCACCGGGACTCTCGAAGAATCGATACTAGTCTTGATCAACTTCCACAGTGTCTGCCAAGTCCTCATTGCTCCAGTAGTCACATCGTTTACGACACATGGGAACTTTCCAGCTTTATTTTGCAGATGTGTCCCTAAGTGCAATGTATGTTATAGACAAGGGACGCGGACAATTATCTCAAAATATAAATATTTACTTTATCGAAATAAACTTTTTAAACTCAACATATTGCAATTTATTTGTTGGTTTTTAAGTCATATGGCGACACTCCAGATCTTTTTGGATATGAAACTGTTTGTCTGAGTGCAATACGTTTCAGGCAAGTTGTACCACAGAAAACCCAAATTAAAATTTTCCCTTTTTGAAAGGGCCAAAACTAGAAAAAACCCCATTTTAGGGCTTTTCCCTTACCCAATCAAAAAATTACATCTCATTGAAATTAATTTACTCATTTTTTGAATCCCCTTTTCAAATTTATATTAAAACAATTAAAATAAACTAAAAAAAATATTTAATTTCCCCATAAAATGCGGGCCCCTTCTCCAAAAAATGCCATTACAACCCCAAAATTTTGCAAATGCCCATCACCCAAACTTCCAAAAAAAACTTTTCACCAATTTACACAAAAAAAAATATACCCCTTTCCCGGCTTTACCCCGCTATCACAACAGGGAAACCCAATCTAGCATTCTTTGAAAAAAGGGTAGGGTACTAAAAGGTAAATTTAGGGGAAAACAAAAAATTCAAATCGAAAAAATTTTGAATTTTTAAATTTTAAACTTTTTTTTTAAATTTTAAACCCTAGTTACAAATTATATTCATTTCTTTTTAAGTCATATGGCGACATTCAAGTTAAATTGGTTAACATAAAAAATTGCCGTTATGTGCAAAAAATAAACAAAATGTGACATGACTGATGCCGCTACATAAAATATCTTCTTTTTCAACTTTACCGTAGATTAAACTATGGAGAAAATTACTTTCAATATGAAATAAAGTCATTTATGTTAACCAATGTAAAACATTATACTTGAGATATTATCACACATCGGTGTATATATACAAATTGATAGCCTTATGTGTAAATGTTAAATATATATTTTTTCCTTTTTGAGAGCCACATTGAAGTTCAAATGCCGTTCAAATGAGTTCTCTCGCTAGAAAAAATCTTATTATTATCATTATTATTAGATATATTATTATTATTATTATTATTATTATTAGATCTATTATTATTATTTTTAATATTATTTTTATTATTATTATTATTATTATTAGATCTATTATTATTATTATTATTATTATTATTATTATTATTATTATTATTATTGTTTTTATTATTATTATTATTATTATTATTATTATTATTATTATTATTATTATTATTATTATTATCATTGTTATTATTTTTTTATTATTATTATTATTATTATTATTATTCTGTATCCGTATCATTAAAATCACGCGAGGTTTTGCCAGATTCGTCGTTATGACGTCATAATACAGCCCATAGATACATGCATAACCATATTACTGCGTTACGTGATTACATAGACCGCACAATTCGGCCAATATGAAGTATTTAAAGAAATTACCTAAAAAATCATCGAATAAAGCTAGGTAAGATTTTATGCTCTTTTAATTTCACTTCGGTAGAAAACATTTTTTATTTGGAGTAATTAATTACTTTGAAAAATGAAGTTGAATAATTATATATATTGGCGAACTGAGAATTTTAGATCTGCATGCAGATCATTTTATTTTTTAATAACAATTTAATAATGAACTTTTATGTTAAAGGTATGCGCATGTTATTTCTAATATATAAATCTCCAGTGGCGGAACTTGTATAGGTTCAGTACGCTTTAGATCTACTTCGCGTTGTCAAGGAAGACTACAGGCCGCATTGGCCGGGCCATGACGTTGTTTTCTTGAGCGAGGAACTTTACAATCATAGTTATTTTATTCCTGACGTCTCTATTTGATATATATATGCATGATATATTATGTGATTTCTTATATACGAGAGCCACCATAAATGATGCCCATATCAATAACAGATGATAACATAATTATTACTGATATAACATCTATCCATGTAGCCGGGTTCAGCTTTTTAAAAAAATCCAAACCAAAATTTTGTTAAACATTAACACAATTAACAATGTTGGTTATAAGTTATGCATAAATTTGCGCTCGAAACAATAGCTGCAATCACAGAGTTCTTGCACTCGTTTTCGTCAATGGCAAAAAGACGCATGTTTATTCTGATGAAAATTTTGAAAGTAAAATAGTGTGTACAAATAATGCACAGGGCACTAACAATTCACGTTAATAATCAAAACAAAAAAGAGGTCAAAATATGCAAAAATGAACCCTTAATGCGTTAGTCACGCAGTAGAAATATGGTAATAAATACTGCAAAATCAGTCATTAATCCCACATAAGATATGTATATTTTAACGTTGATCTTAAAGCATTTTACTTTCCTTAAATCTTAGTACATGATTCTCAAGTTTGATTTTCTTCAGCTATATTGGTTCATCTGAAGGCATGCAGCGGCCATAAACTATAGCTGCTACAAGTCTGTTACAACTGTAATACTTTTAAAACATTATACTTGAGACATTATTACACATCGGTGTAAAGCTTACAAATTGATAGCCTTATATGTATGTAACAATTATGTTTTTTATAGTTTTAATATGTTAAAATTATAGTTTTCCTTGTTATTAAAGGGCCTCATTGAAGATTGATATGTTGTTCATATGATTATCTCGTTAAATAAAGACCTTATTATTATTATTATTATTATTATTATTATTATTATTCGTATGAAAAAGGTTATGTAATGATCTCCCCTTATTATCTGCCAAGGGAAGTAATCACTGTCCGTATCAGTAAAATCACGCGAGGTTTTGCAAGATTCGACGTTATGACGTCATAATTCAGCCCATAGATACAAGAATAACCATATTACTGCGTTACGTTATTAAATATATCGCACAATTCGCCCAATATGAAGTATTTAAAGAAATTACCTAAAAAATCATCGAATAAATCTAGGTAAGATTTTTTATGCTCTTTTATTTTCACTTCGGTAGGAAACAATTTTTATTTGGAGTAATTATTTATTTTGAAAAATGACAAAAAATTGAAATTATATTTGCGAATTGAGAATGAAATCTGCATTTACATATATATCATTATTTTTTAATAACAATTTAATAATGAACTTTTATGTTAAACGTATGCGCATGTTATTTCTAATATATAAATCTCCAGTGTCGGAACTTGCAAGTTCAGTCTTGTCAAGGGAGACTACTGGCCGCGTTGGTTTCAAACATCGTCGTTTTTCTTGAGCAAGCAATCTTACACTCGTAGTTATATTATTCGTGAGTTCTCTATATCGTGCACGCACGATATATTTTGTGATGTCATATGTATGAGAACAAACAAAAATTTTGCTCATATCAATAACAGATGATAACATAATTATTACTGATATAACATCTATCACTAACGCAGTACGGGCTATTTTTGCATATTTTGTCCTCTTTTTTCGTAATTTACGTGGGTGATAAGTGCCATTGATAATGTGTAAATTACTTCCTTTTGGTTATTTCACTAAATAATACTTTTAAACACATTTTCAAAATTTTCATGAAAATTAGCATGAATCTGGAGGCGTGCTGCACTAAACCATAGAATCATGATTGTGTTGATCATGTATTATTGCACCTGTGAATTTCAACTCAAAACCCTTACCTCGGAGCGAAGTGAGGATTGAAAGGATAATTGCACCGAGTTTTTTTACCTTCCAATTTCCGAATGTCCCTGTACTGTGGGGATAAAGGGGGTAATTTCAGTGTTTTTTTTTTTTTTCCATTTGCTTCATTTCCATACACAGTGCGCCAGAGCCAATGGAAGTTGACTCAAGTCCCAGCGTGTCCGCACCTCCATGCATTCCAGCTCCATGCATTCCAGGTAAGACTGAACAATGTTAATAACTGATTATTTTAGCCAGATGCAAATACAGTCATCGTTAATATATATACTGTAATGTAAGTACTATGAAATCCATGATTCCAAAAATGTAACTTTAATTAGTTCCCATTGCAAAATGTTACGATAAAACATGTAAATTTTTGAACGCGCATGCTTATTATGCGCACTATGACCGTGCTGTGTGCTTTGCAAGGACATTCCGATACATGTACACTCTTTATAACAACTTTTGTTCAGAAAGTTATGGAATGATTGTCCAACTTTTCTCTTATATGATTATATAATAAATCAAAAGCATTGTAAAACAAAAAACAAAACCTACATATATTTACAAAATGTCCATGTTGTGCACAGGATCCATATAGCGTTCAGACTTTTTTTCCATTTACGACTTATTAAATGAATGATATTATTCAATACTGAAGTTATCGAATGTGCTGAATAAAGTTATATTATGCGAGTTTCTGGCGAGCATTATATCCTTTTATCCAACGAGTTCGATAAATAAAGTAATAAAGCGACACGAATATAGTATTCTATTTAAAACGCATGCCCAAAATAAGAACTGTTTACACCAGAAATATATCATGACAAAACCAACACAGTGCGTTTGCGACCAGCATGGATCCAGACCAGCCTGCGCATCCGCGCAGTCTGATCAGGATCCATGCTGTTTGCTTACACAGTCTATAACAAGTAGAGAAACTGATAGCGAACAACATGGACCCTGATCTGGATACATGCTGGTCGCAAACCCACTATGTTGGGTTTGTCATGGCTCATATATTTTTGTAACTGCATTAAGGAACATCGACAGGGGGGATAACTGGAAGAGATACGAGACAGGAAGAGTCGATGGAAGTGGTTCCGGAAATGATTGACGTAAATGAAAAAATGGAATGCGAACATGCTGTTAGAGGAAAGAAGAGGAAGTGTAAGGAAGCTGACAAAGATTGTCCTCCACTGAAGCGAAAAAGAAAGGAAAGGGGGACCAAAAGGAAAAGCAGATGGCATGATGGTGCTCTGAGAAAGAGAGTAAAGCTCACCTACAGCGCATAAGTATATGGAATCGGGCAGGGTTGACAGGGCGTGCCCAAATTTCCCGTGAGGTAATTAAGAGGAAGCACATCTTTCTTTGAAGTAGATGTGTTTAACTGCGAATTGTTTGTTTGTTTTGTTGTTGTTTTTTAAGACTTGATGGTTAATGTGTTTTTTTTTCTTTTCCTTTAAAAAATGTCTGTATGGTTTAAATCAGGTTTAATTATTAAACGTTCTTTAAGCTCGATATATGCAACTTATCTTAAGTTGCATTCGAGTCCGCTTCCTGGAACCAACCAGTACTGGTGTCATTTGAAGAAACATGGTCGTGACCCGGTAGGGCTCGAACCCATGATCTCTGGTCTGGGGTGAGACGCAGACACCTTAACCACTAGGCCACCGCTCCCCTTGAAGATTTGATCTAATTATTATAAGATTAATGTAAAAATGTATTTTTCTTAACTACAAGTCGTGGTCGGACCCAAGGTGTCCGTGTATATTTTGATATAGAGATCTATATCTTTATAACTAGAACTCTTTTTTTCTTTGAAATGTTAAATTGCAAATAGAGCTTGATATATTTCTTTCCTCTTCTATCATTCAAGGTAAAAATGGAGAGAGAAAAAATGACCATTTGCCCTTACTCGTCAACAATGTCCGACTCTCGTCACGATCCGGATTCCAAGTATCTCGCTTGGAATTTAATTTGGTACCAGTTATAAGATTTAAGGTAAAAAATGATATATAGATCTAACATAAACTGATGAAAAAGAAATGATTACGAATGCAATTTAAAAGTAGATCCAGTTGTGATTTCGACAGTGAAGAAGTACATGTATAAATTAATGGATTTTTTTATATAAATATATTTCTCTTGGGACTTTCAAATATACAGTAGAAGACCCTGATAAATCTACCGAAAGAATCGATCTCCAGTACAGTAGGCCGGGCTACACTACAGTATATTCTACTGCAAAAAAGGTGTTACAAATTATTTAACAGTCTGGAAAAGCTGCCCTTGACATAAAATTTCTTATATAAACTTGTGTTTCATAAGGGTTTTAGTTTGAACTTGACCGCAAAAGTCAGACCATGTCGCCTTGGAGATTGTAAACAGATCTAAACACGCACCTGTTTTAATCCTGTCATTAAACGCTTTATTCTGTTTATTCTTTTCAAAACCAATGAGCGTTCAGTTTGACTCGGAGTAACAGTAGTATCCGTTTCACTTCCGTGAAATTTTAGAATATTCCTGCAGTTATCACGGAAAAATGGGTAAAGGTGGCAAAAAAGTAGAAAATGGAAGTGAACAGACTTCTGTTAAAAGTTTCACATGGGAAGAAATAAAAACTCACAATAAAAGGACGGACAGCTGGATTGTTCTTGACGGAAAGGTGTACAACGTGACAAACTTCATGAAAAAACATCCCGGCGGTGCAAGAGTATTATCAAGTTACGGCGGTCAAGATGCAACGGTAAACTGGATTTTAAAATTTATAAAACTATTTATGAATTATATAAAATTAATTAAACTTGCTTTACAGTAACTCAACTGAGGGTTAAATGCTTTAAAAATAAAATATGAAATTTTTTTTACATAAACTGATGTTAATAACTGGAACAGTCGATTAAAACAGAAAGATAGAGCTGTCACAAAATCTCAGACATAAATTGAAAATCATATTTTGTGCAAATTAGCGGAAATTTTGCATACAAATTATTAGTCTGTGGTCGAGGGGTTAGAGTCGATGACTTCTAATCCAGTTAGGATGGTCCCCTATGGTACCACTGTTCTTATTATTTCCAGCAAATTGTACAAATAAAGAAAACTAATATTAACTATTTTATTGAATTGTGTTTAGCTGTCACATCTTGACTTTAAAATAAACATGTTGTTCATGGAATAACTCAATGATTTTAATTAGAAACATTCTATGCGCAATCAGCCATGTCTTTACAATGGGGAGCTTATATGGAGAGGCACTATGGTACCTGGTATGTAAATTGATGCCCTTTTTGGCTTCTGTATAATTTTTTTGTAACAAAATATGCTGTCACTACAGTTTCAGCAGAATGCCTTCACGTGTCGGAATATGAAATTATAAGTTTAACCGTTTAAATATGGGTAAAATAAAGAAGTTTTTTCAAGCACACAACATGCAGTTTGGATTTTCCCTATCAATGACAGAATTTATTTGAAATGAAAAAAAAATTTCTAACAATTTCAATCAAATTCAACAAAAAGCAGAACTTCCACTTTCACTATAATGGTGGAAAACAGTATTTGGTAGCAATTCAATGTGTAAAGAAACAAACAAATTTCCTATTACATCGGGAATAGGAAGACCGGTACCTACGGGGGAGTACTATACCTCTCTGGCTTGGGTTCGATCCCCAGGAGATGCTTTGGTAGTTTAGCACGGAGGAAGGTAGTCTAGTACTGGTGTAACTCTCCAGGAACGATGGTTAGGAAACTACCCGCCATGACTGAAATACTGTTGGGAAAAGGCGTAAAAATACTAAAATGAATCAAACAAACAAATGAAACAAGTTATTAGTCAAATTTAAATTGACATGCCAAGGCTAGATTATATGAGATACATCGTATGTGTGTTCTGGGTTAGCAGAGGGAAGATATTGCCCATCATACACAAAATAGCACATTATCAGTATCTCATGGCATAGTCCAATATATTGGTTGGACTAAAATTAGTTATGAGTCTACACAGGCATGTATACTAAATGGAACATTAATCTCGAAAAATTGTACATAACTTTCCATTGCACTGTTATTATTTTTCCTGTTATGTTTGCATGCCTCAATATTTTAATGAAAATATGAAGTAACGTATGATTTTTAGCATTTAATCATTCAAGCACATTGTAGAATTGTCTCACTTTTAAATTATTCTTCAAACTTGCAGGATGTATGGACTGCCATGCATAATGACAAAGATTTTGTCGGTAAATACTTGAAGCCATTATACATCGGAGAAGTTCAGGATTACAATGCAGTAAGTTTTTTTTTCATACTTTGATAAATTTAGTATTGAATCTACATGAATATAATATTCTATTTAACACAAATTCCAAAGTAAGAACAATTTACAGATAAAAAAGGGTGTTTTTTTGTGGACACTATACTAGTGTAATGCCCACATTAGCAAGCCATTAAGCAATTATTGAATATAATGCTAATAATTGTATATTACGCTAATGATTTGACAATAAATATTCTAATATTCACTTTTATTTGTCTATATGCATTTTAATTTGTTAACAAAAATGCGCAATGCCCTGTAAGTAAGGTAGCAAAAGAATTGATTCCATTATACACATATATATACTTGTTAGAGTTTGTAATCAATTAAGGTATATGTTCACTTGTATGTATCATATATGTAGTTGTAACTTATTTTATCATCATTTTCATTCTTTTTCCTAAAACTGCAATTTTTACTCTTAGACTGAGTAAAAAAAAATTAGGGAGCTTTAGAAAACTGTTAAGATACCCCGGGACTTTTAAAGTGAAACCATGTTTTTATGTAGACATTTGTGAGCATTCTAGGCTGGAGGGGGTGGTTTTCCCCATCTTGTACGTTTTGGAACATCCCGGGTGCATTTTGGCTGCACTCATGTGTTTTGAATTAGGTATTTATTTTTAAAATTTTTAAAGAAATTTATTCTAAAAATTTTGCACCCTTATTGTTATCCCAGCTCCCCTCATATTCCTGTGTAAAGAAGGACAGTATCATTTGGATTTTATTAAATTTTGGAAAAAAATGGTCAAAGGCCCTGCCCATGTGAGGATAAAAAAAACTCTTCCTTAAGACCATCACTGCAAGGTGGACGATCAAAAAAATTTAATATCTGTTTCAGATGCATGCTGAAAAATTTATTTTAATGATAAGATTATTTTAATTTTTCTATGATAGCAATAAATAATAGAAAGAAAAATTGCATAAGTATTCTGCGATCCATATTTGATTTTATAGTAATTATTAGATTTTTAAAAATATCAATTTTTAGCAATAATATCTCTTTCCAGTATGACTATTACAATCATGTTTTGTGTGTGCGTATTTTAGGCACAGGCTGGTTGGTTACAAATGACTTTGGACATTTATCAGTTTTCAAACCAGTAGAAAAAAAGAACCATATTGCCCATCATCTTATCATTGGTCATTTGAAGGTAATTGTACTTAAAGCATTAATCTAAAGAAAATATAATTATCATTCCTAAATGCCTAATCTTAAAGGAACTTGACTGCTGTTCAAAAGTCCAAAAAAGATAAGATTGAATTTCTTGAAACAGGTCCACTGGGATGCTTATAACTTAAGAGATAGTTACCCCTCCCCCTAACTTCCACCCTCCCAACCCCCCACCCTTGTATGCAAAAGGAAATGAAGAAATAAACTCACTGACACTTTTTAATTTGAAAATCATATATTTGTGCAATGTTAAGTCTTGATTAAAGTTATAAGAGTTCAAATGCTTTTCACTTTTGAGTCGTTTTCATAATTAAGATAATTATTCTGGTAAAATGGTCTTGAGTGAAATATCTGAAATTTCGCAGATACATTATTGCTGCAGATCTACATGAAATAGTATCTATATTTTTCAATTTTATTTAAATCCCCCCAGTGGAAAAAAATTTTCATTGAATTTAGTATAAAAGAAAGCATTAAAAATATTTGGGATGTTAAAATATTTTTAAAAAAGCATGTATTGGTTTTTACAGAAATTTATTTTAGTTGATTGTGTAGGAGCTAAAAAGCTATAGACACACTTTCATCCGTTCCCGGAACCAACCAGTATGACAAAGTGTGTAAATTTTTTGCTCAAAAAACAAAAGATTTCCCTTGACGGGTTTGAAATCATGCAGTAGGATTAAAATTATATCCCCACGGTTAACTTAAAACATAGTATTTAAATCCCCCAAAGTTTTGTCCCCTTTTAAAATTTTTATAAAATTTTACATTGAAAAAAAAGTATATTTGTTTGAAAAATTTCAAAACACTTTCACAAGTCTTCTTCTTGATAAAAGTTAACAATTGTTTATTTGTAGGGCGCTTCATCTCATTGGTGGAATTTCAGACATTTTCTGCATCATGCCAAACCTAATATCATAAAGGTGGACCCCGACGTAGAGGTGGCAAACCTCTTCTTACTGGGAGAAACATTACCAAAACTGTTCGGACAGAAGAAACGTGGATTCATGCCATACAATTTTCAGCATATTTATTTCTTTTTATGTAAGTAAATGTATAACTAATGCTTACTGCAGAATTAAGAATATTTTGTTTTTTCCTAGCTAATAACATAGGTACAAACAACAAAATAAAACATTTCCTAACAAAATATTTGACTGCTATTTTAAGTTGGTGTTGCAATAATAGGTAGGCATATATCGCCCTCTTTATGAGAAATTGAGAAAGAAAAAAAAATCAATTTTTTTAAACAAAATTTTGTTCAACTTACTACATTCCATCTTGAAACATCCAAATTAGCCAAAATCATCTTTCCTGGTTCAGTGCGATATTGTGTTTGTGCGTCATAAAACCAAACAAACAAACAATTACATATGATACTGTTATTGTTTTATACCCTTCATAGAAATATAGAAAAACATAGTATAGATATACGTGTATATCAGTCACATATCAGCAGTAAACCAACATTATGTAAATCATTTTGTGATATTAAACTAATATTTATAGTTTTTGTTTACAGTGACGCCATTACTACTGCCCACATATTTTGTTTACGAGAACTTGTATTTTGTTGTGAAAAGGAGAGACTACTGGGTAAGCCTTTTCAGTTAAGACACAATTGTCCATTTTTAATTGAGAAGTTTATAAGTCTCCTTATCTGCTACTTGAAGTTTATTTACAAAATTATTGTTTTAATTTTGAAAGAGAATAATTATGAAATACTTATGAAAGACATATGCTCGTATATTTCCTTAAGAGCCGATAGCACATGCACAAAATCATTGCTAAATGGTTCAAAAGCCTATCTTAAAAAGGAGCATAATTTTTTGTTTTGGAATATTATATAATATTAATGTTCATTTTTTTTGTGTGTTCGGTAAAAAGACATTCAATCTAAAACTCTTTGAGTATAAACAATATGATTATGGAAACTGCACAATTTTACTTTTTTTATAAATTCTATAAAAGAATTTCATTATATCTATCTGTATATGATTTAACTCACTATAGTACCCTTATTTGGTGTTATTAATCAAGGCGTCCCATAAGTGCAGTTACAAGTTAAGTCCTAAATTTAATAGGAGTTAACCAGTTATTGCACTAAGATGACAAAGGGGCCTCTTTGGCCAAGAGGGTAAAGCTGTTTTACAAATCTCATGTCCTATATTTGAGCCGCGTCACGACAAAACCAGCGTAATGGGTTTGCGACCAGCATGGATCCAAACCAGCCTGCCCATCCGCGCAGTCTGATCAGGATCCATGCTGTTCGCTTACAAACCCTATAACAAGTAGAGAAACTGATAACGAACAGCATGGATCCTGATCAGACTGTGCGGATGGGCAGGCTGGTCTGGGTCCATGCTGGTCGCAAACCCATTATGTTGGTTTTGTCATGGCGAGGCTCATTTGATTTGAGTTTAAGTCCTTCCACTGCAGTGATTTTGATTGGAGGATTCTAACTGGCAAGCTTATGGAAGATCACTGGTTCTAATTGAATGCACACATGTGCTTAAAACAAAGCACAGATGGGACTATACATGGTTACTTAGCGCTGCCTTGGAATACCTTAAATTTTCTTATCATTAAAGGATTGTTCTAAATTTAAAGCTGGCCAAACGAATCATACAAAATTCAAACAGGGTTGTGTTTAAACTAATTGCTTATATTTTATGAATATGTGTATGTTATATTTTTCAGGACCTTTTCTTCACACTAACATTTTTCTATAGACTGTTTGCTACGCTAGGGCCAATACTAGGAGTGTGGGGTTGTATCGCACTGTTTCTTGTTGAAAGGTAACACGCTTTTCCATATATAAATTAATGCTAACATGATCAAGATAACAAAAAGTCTTAAAACTCCAACTGCATATCTTTCACGAATGTAAAATATATCTTATTATTTAGTGATGGAACTTAAATGTATTTTAGTTTTATATGTAACAAGAGTTTTACTTGGTTGAATAAAGTTGCCATTTTCTCTTATCAAACAAAGGTGTTGTATGCTTGTAAAATGTTCTTTTTGTTGTTTTTATGCTCAACTGTCACAAAGTGACCAGTTACCTTTTGTGATCACGATTCGTCCGGAGTCTTGTCTGTCCGTAAACTTTTACTTTATACGACATCTCGTCATATGACATCTCCCCTTCTTTTAAAACCCCCAAAGAGCTAGAGCTTAGATATTAAGCATGAAACATCTTCTAGTTGGTGTCAACCAAGTTTGTTCAAATAAAAGTCCTGGGGTCAGAATTGGCCCCGCCAAAGCGGGTTATTGATTTTCCTGATATGTATGTAGTAAAATCTTTAAAAATCTTCTTTCAACCAACAGTACTGGAGCTTAGATATTTAGCATGAAACATGTTCAAATGAGTGTCTACAAAATTTGTTCAAATCAAAGCCCATCCAGTCAAAATTAGCCCCGCCCCAGTGGGTCATTTATTGTCCTCATATGTGCACGTCTATGGAACCGTTGTTTTCCTTTAGCATGAGCAACCAGTTATGATTATACCCCCAAAAACGAAGTTGTGGGGGAGGGGTATATAGGAGTCAGCTTGTCGGTCGGTCTGTTTGTTTGACAGTTGGTCCACATCATGGTTTCTGGACAATAACTAGAGTTTGGAATGAGTTATTGTAATCAAACTTGGTATATAGCAAGCTTATGTAGAGACCCTGTTTGGTATTGCATTTGGACCCCTTGGGTCAAGGTCACTGTTACTGAAAGTAGAAAAATGGTTTCCAGACAATAACTAGAGTAAGGAATCAAACTTGGTGTATAGCAAGCTTATATGAAGACCCAGGTTGGTATTGCATTTGGACCCCCTGGGGTCAAGGTCACCATTACTAAAAATAGAAAAATGGTTTCTGGACAATAACTAGAGTTAGGAATGAGATATTGTAATCAAACTTGGTGTATAGCAAGCTTATATGAAGACCTGGGTTGGTAATGCATTTGGACCCCCTGGGGTCAAGGTCAAGGTCACCATTACTAAAAATAGAAAAATGGTTTCCGGACAATAACTAGAGTTGGGAATGAGATATTGTTATCAAACTTGGTGTATAGCAAACTTATATGAAGACCTGGGTTGGTATTGCATTTGGACCCCCTGGGATCAATGTCAAGGTCATTGTTACTAAAAAATAGAAAAAAGGTTTCCGGACAATAACTAGAGTTAGGAATGAGATATTGTTATCAAACTTGGTGTATAGCAAGCTTATATGAAGACCTGGGTTGGTATTGCATTTGGGCCCCCTGGGGTCAAGGTCACTGTTACTAAAAATAGAAAAATGGTTTCCGGACAATAACTTGAGTTAGGAACGAGATATTGTAATCAAACTTGGTGTATAGCAAGCTTATATGAAGACCTGGGTTGGTATTGCATTTGGACCCCCTAGGGTCAAGGTCACCGTTACAGTGTTACTAAAAATAGAAAAATGGTTTCCGGACAATAACTAGAGTTAGGAATGAGATATTGTAATTAAACTTTGTGAAAAGCAAGCTTATTTGTAGACCCCAGTGGGGATTACAATTAATTGAAATACTTCTTTGTACACAGTTGATAATAGTTTGTGTTCAAATTTTTCTTCAGACTACTTATTTTTCAAAAGTCAAAGTTGCTGGTGGGGGTATTAATCACCTTCAGTGATAGGTCTAGTTTTATACTGGTACTCGTTCAGATACAAATATGAACTTTGTGATATCGGTTTAAGATTTAGATTTTATATCTGCTTTGTTTACGGTTTACAATATTACTTGTTCCTTGTCATGGAGATTTTTTATATTTAGGTAAGCGATTTCAGGGCCGTTATGGCCCTCTTGTTTTCAGAACAATCTAGAGACTGTGGTTTGTAAAGTCTACTCAGTATATAATTGTCTTTTTGAAAAACAATTCAGAGTCAGTCTTATTGGTTTATAAAATATCATGCTCATTTCTTGTCATTTTTTCTGTACTCAGTTTTTGTGTCATTTTTTTCAGGTGCATTGAAAGTCACTGGTTTGTATGGTGTACTCAGATGTCCCACATACCAAATGAAGTAGAGTTTGATGGGTCAAAAGACTGGTTTAGATTACAGCTCGACTCAACATGTAATGTTGCATCAAGCTTTTTCAATGACTGGTTCTCAGGACATTTGAATTATCAGATTGAGCACCAGTAAGTACTGAGTTTTAGCAGAGGGGAACCAGACATCCACTCTTCTATCTATCTATCTTCCATTAATGTCAAACCCCTTGCATGGATGAAGACATGACTCTAGACTTCAGAGACAGTTATGAGATACAAGGGAATCCGGGCACCAGTCCCTAGCTCTTATTGAATAGACCCCTTGGTTTTTTTTACATGCCCAGTGTATAGCACTGATACATGCAAGGATTACCTAGATTTCTTACCAGTACACTTCTAGGTAGGTGGGAAACACTGAAAGTGTCTCTGAAAAATCCCATGGGTGTTAGTCAGGATCAAACCTGGAACCTCAGGAGTGACAGTCAGTGGTCTAACCAACTAAGCTATCACACCACCTTTATTGAATACCATAATAGTTATTGCAGTTTGTATACTTTGCTAAGGTGGCTTGTCGCATTTTCGTTGTTCTTAAGTCATATTCCCGTCCATACCTACACAGGTTTAGTGATCAAACTGTTTTTGTAGTTTTGTTTTACATATAACAATAGTGTTATAAATGAAGTTGCCTTTTTTTCTATATTGAAGGCGTGGTCAGTCCTAAATGGGCCTTCCTCCATATTAGTGAAGCTTAAATTTTATGTTTTAAGCACACAAAAAATGTGCGTGAATAAATTTATTGTACAGGTATGATTTTTATATTTTATCTTTTTTTGATTGATTGATTGATTAATTGATTGCTTGATTTTCTTATTTTTCAGCTTGTGGCCAATGATGCCAAGACACAACTTCAGCAAGATTGCACCTCTGGTGAAGTCACTGTGTAAGAAACATAATGTTGAATACAGATGTAAACCCTCGTTGAAGAATGCCTTTGGTGATGTGGTCAGGTAGGGACAACAGTTTTTCTGCTTCAGAATAAATGAAAAATAAATAAAAATATTGAAATATTGAACCAAACTTTATAACTGATTCGTCCTAAATTAAATTTGAAATTGTCAATGGTCAACATGAGTGGTTTTTCTGTTAAGACATGTAAATTTGAGATGCCAATAGAAAAGTAGGCTTAGGTTAGGTAAAATCTACCCATGACATTGCTACATGAAATGCTTTATTTTTAGGCAATGAATCGGAAACCTGCGTAATGATCTTTTCATATACGTTTTTTTATTTTTTGAAAATACGTTTTGAAAGATTTACCCTTAAATTTAATGTAATGGCTGAATTTAGAAGAAAAGTAGTCTGCCAAGACGTCAGTGAAAATACAGAAAATATGTTTCATTGCAGTGAAAAAAAATGTTTACAGAAAAAATACGGAAAATGAAAATAGTCATTTTATTTCATTAATATTTTGCAATAAACACCAACTGATATATCTCTTTAAAGAACATGTTAAATTTGTACAACTATAAATATTTTTTTTTTTAATATTCACAGATCTTTAGACCATTCTGGTGAGATTTGGTACAACGCTTATTACGAGGGGCTGCACTAAACTCTTCACCTTTCACTGCTGTAGATGATCTCCGTTCCAGAAAAAAAAGAATTGTCTTTTCTGATTTGAAATTAAACTTGTGCAAATGATCATGATTTGACAAAGATTGCCTAGAAATCCTGAATATCCTGAGTGTTATTACATGTTTTCAATGGACTTCTGGCCTATAAAGAAAATCTTTTTTCTTATTTATAAACACTGACTGTGACACACAGGTTTGTCTGTATTGTGTGTGTTTATATGAGTAATATAAATCACACGTGACATATTTTTAGGGTGCCAGGATGCAGCATGTTTTTTGTTACTATGCAATAACAACATACACGTGTGTCTACAGTGTATGTTTAATGTATAAAATACTCTTCTTAGATTGCTCAAACATCCTGGAACATGTTTTGTGAAGAAAATGAACTTTTGTGGATTAGAAAAAACAACATTTTTTTAATGCAACAAACTGTTTGTAAGGTTATTTCCATATGAAGTTTGTGATATTTTCTCAAAAATTGTGCTTTCATAATTGAGAAGAGACTGGAACAAATGGAAACAATGGTCGATTTTTTTGTTGTTGTTTTGTTGTTGTTGTTGTTTATTTTCTTCAAATTATTCATTGTATACATTAATCAGTATGCGAAAGAAATAGGAATTTACATATAGTAGAGTGCTGGTTATCATTGCCAGATCTGTGGCAGCTCTTGTTATATTCTGTTGTTAACTTCAAAATATAAGAAAATAACATCTAGGAAGAATAGTGGTTGCAGATTTTGATTTTGAATTCTTGTTTTGTTGCTTGTTTGTTAAAAATTAACAAGTTAAGAATTTTCATTGACAAAGACAAATTAAAATTTCAAACATTATAATATTTTTGTTTTAAACTTTTAAAAAAATAACGTCTATGAAGAATATTGATTGCTGTTTTTACTTGTGATTTTTTTTTTTTTTTGCTGTTTTTTTGTAGAATTTTTCAATCTTTTTAGATCAAACTGAATATTGTATATCAAGTAGATTGGACATACATAATTGCCTAGGAGAAAATGGTTAATATTAAGATGATTACATTTATGTATTTATCTTTATACATGTATATAAATTATAAATGTAGCTGTTCTTTCCACCACCTGTCTCATTAGTGATATAGTCATTTATTTATTGTTTTATATTAGGGTATATGTATAATCAAAATCACTTTAGGCAATACAAGAACTATATTCATTTCTATATATATATCTGTATGCTAAATGAAACCTTTAAGATGTTTTGAATGTTCACAAAGTTTCATTTATTTTACATGCATTATTATACATCATATTTGTATTTTTTGCTCATTTTACTTACAATCACAGAATTTTGTAACAATATATAAAATCATGTCAAAATATTAGTATTCTCTAAGTCATTGAATTAATTATGTTATAATTTATAACTATATTTAGTCTCTTTTTATTTTCTATCACTTTTATTAACCAAGTGTATTACTTGACTGAACTCAATGAGCATATATTTGGCCCTAAAATAGTTTTAATCTTTACTGTCTAGACTTAACATCCTCATTTTGTCTTTAATGAATTATGACCTTCAACTTACATTATGAGTTATGACCTTCAACTCACAATGAGTTATGATCAGCAACTCACTATGTCCTTGACATTGAAGGTCAGATTTTCATAATTTAGGAAATTTCATGATAAATCTTACTTGATTTATTGATTTTCGATACTAGCAATTGTGTTTTACAAACTTGTCTTGCTTTTGGTATAAAATATATTTTAGACTTGTAGGAGTGTGTTTCAATGGGCATTTCTTTTTAATTTTGAAGCCATTTGTATAGAAACATGCAAATTTAAGTTGCTCACAATTATCTATTCCATACACATGACAGTAATCTATGCATATAATATATAAGTATATTGTGCGTGTTTTGGGGGGGGGGTTTCTTAACATTTTCAATACTGTTTTGCACAATCAGACATTTTGTTATATGTATATATGAGTACTGAATATGGATTAAATGCACTGCATATGGATTAAATGTACTGCATATGGACTACATGCACTGCATATGGATTAAATGCACTACATATGGATTTGATGCACTGCATATGGATTAAATGTACTGCATATGGACTACATGTACTGCATATGGATTAAATGCACTGCATGTTGATTAAAAGTACTGCATATGGATTAAATGCACTACATATGGATTACATGTACTGCATATGGATTAAATGCACAAATATTTAATGTGATACATGTACCTATAAAACTGTGATACTTATATATAGAATTTATTATTATTTTTTTATTTTTTGGTGGAGAAAAAGGTGGCCATACATTCCATACCTGCATGTTTCTGCTGTCTTAAAAGACTTTTCTGTTAGCACTACTTCAGATTTTATATTTTGACACCCCTTGAAAACAAAATGGTCAATTCCAAGCAGGTCAAATTCATTGTTTGAAATATATAGTCAATGCAGCGCACCTTGACAATGAAAAAAAAAATAGCATAATGTCACTTTAGTGGAGAAAAAAGTGCCATGAGATTTTTTTATTATTATCCAAAAAATACACAGAACGTCTTAGTTTTAAAGCTTTAACACCTCCAGAGTCTAAAAAAACTTCAAAAATTGCATTATTTTTTTGTATTTGAAAACCTTGATGAGACATTCCAAAGTATGATGTTATAGATAATACAAAATGTATATATTATTACTAGATGTTAAATGTGATATATATTAATTAACAGTATTCTTATTTTCTAATTGACAAAATTATTTCTATCAGGGCTATTTCTCTAATCAAATCAGCCTGTTCTATATACATGTATTTGTTTTATTTTTCTATGACTTGTTTTTTCTTACTCTACACTGACATCATTGTATTTTGTAAATTGTATTACATTTGTTAACTTGTTAAGATGGCATAATGGTTTTTTACATTTTTTTATAAATCTTTTAAATCTTTTTTGTACTCTGATTTACATAAAATAAATTATTTTTCAATTTCAAGTGCTCTTTTCTTAAATATTTGTTGCTATTGTTGCTGTTGCTATATTTGTTGTTGAGTATTTGTGTTGAGTTGTGTTGTGTTGTCACATACTTTCCAACTTAAATGGTGAAGGAAGACCTCGGTTGCCACCTGGGTGGTGTATAATTTCGGCAAGAACCTACGTCTTAGTAGAATCTCCGACCTTCTGTAAATTAGCTTTGTATCCAAAGTCGACGAGAAGATTCGAACCAACACCAATGAATGGTAAATTTGGCGTTTAACACCTCTGCCATGGATGTCTCATTTATATGCACCAATCAATTGTTTTACCATCACTCCACCCCCTCCCCCTTTTGATTGAACAAAGTTTTACGTCCCGTATGTCACTGCAGTGCCTGGACAATGCTGGTGATGTCGTTTTGGGCCCAAACACTGGGAAATATGCGGAACCTGTTTTGCATTGGAATTTCAAGCAGGAAATTCATTGTAACTGCAGGACAGTGACTTTGCTGTTAGTTTGATGACAAACTCCAATTAAACTCATGATGAACGAAACCACGGTAAGGAATCGCGTGATTTTTTATGGTAACGCGTGCTGACAATATGGCCGCACAAACACCTCGCTTAATTCACATGCATTTTTAGGTAATTCTTAATTATATCCCTTATATACGACACGACACTTGTTGCAGCCTACGCGGAATAAGAATTGTTGTCGCCTATACTTTATTTTCCACCCCTCTGCTTATAGTTTTTACAAACACTAAAAAACATAACTGGTAACATTCACGCAAATTAAATTTGTATTTTTATAAGAAATTGATGAGACAATGTCGAGTTTGCATAGAGAAAAAGGTCATACAATTTCTTTATTGGAAACTCTTAAACTCTTATTCATGATGGGGATACGCTTCAAGAATTTTATTAACTTCAATATTAGGTGCGTTTTCACTTCAAATGTAAGGCTAATATGAAGTTCACACATAAAACAAGGCCATTATGCAAAAAGTACAGCCTTTATGAGAAAACTCGGCTATTATGAGATTGGCCTCAGCCCAATAACAAGGTCATTATGAAAACACTTAATTATTAATATTGTATCATAGTTTGGAGACCTTTCTGTTGAAAATGTGTCAGGGTTAAATCGTTTACATATACATGCACAGTGCGTTAACTGGAGTGCGGGTATTAGTTACCCGCACTCCAGAGAATGCCTATTGATTGGCTCATTTTTGCTGGGGTTTACATATTGGGACGGCAGAGAAAGGGAAAGCGACAGAAATGTCATATTCAGATGTTCGTTCATTGGTTCATTTTTGCCGGGGTTTCATATTGTGACAACAGGGAAAGTGCTTTTATGTTTGACTATGATACAAAAGAGAAAGAACACCAAAACACTCGGCAATCTAATTAATTTATACTCGGGGGCTCCGCCCCCTCGTACAAATCGGATAGCCTCGTGTTTCGGTGCTCTTTCTATTACTTACAGTACTATTTTGTATTCGTATTGCTAAAGATAATAATCATTAAATTCCATTTTTTAGCAAAACAGGTTTTTGTTATTAAAGTAAAGTGATCCATGATGGAAGTTATGTAATACCTTCAATAAGTATGTTTATAGTACAATGTAGTACAATTAATGTATTTAGTACCATATGTGACAACAAACTACGAGGGGATAATATATGTGGATATTGTTTGATAGTATGAGATAAATGGTCCGACATTTTATATCTACATATAGCACGTAAATTATTGTCATAGAATTCGTACATAATCATACTAATCACTTTGAATTCTTACAACATTTTTCAAGATATTTTTTGTAAGAATAACCAAATGATACATTTTAATTGTAAATTTATGGTGGCTGATTTGTGCCATTCGTGTTTATTTTAATCCATCATTGCGACTGTCAATTGCTGTATCTTTGAAATGTATCGGGGGAAACCCTCCAAATTTTTAAGGTCACAATAAACATTTACGAATTCGTCATTATTCGTAGGGAAATCCCCACTATTCATAGGGGAATCCCCATTTAATTTCAAACATTAACCTATTTGCACAAATGGAAAATTTTAGTCGATCGTACCTGATTACACGGTAATCGCAAAAGTAAGCCACCGACACAAAAAAAATCCGTACATACAAAAAATGTACATAAATTTTACATATGTTTCTTATATTTTATCAAGATATTTTTATTTGTAGCTCACAGGAATTCATTTTTCCTACTGATAAACATTAAAACCGTCACTGATATATATGTTTTTTTATTCAAAACTAAATTATCTATGACCAAATGTTTCCACTATATAATTGGATTACAATGAGAAATAAACATGTAAACACGGTTGTGTAAAAGCACCAAGAAAATATAAATATAAAAAACAAACTCAATATTTAAAATTAAAAAAAAACGTCTGGCAAAAAATATTTCATTCAAGTTATGGCGGTTCATAAATGTGTGTCAGTTGATCTATATTGATCAATATTTGTTCTATACGCTTTATTATTGACAAAAAGATCTTTTCAATCCATTACTAAAATCCCGATATATAAACTATGTACATAAGACACGGTATAGAACTTCATGGCCTTCACATAACTATACTTGATAGACAAAATTTCCATTCAATTTGATCAATGCTTTAAAGGTGTACATCGATCTCTGTTAATCATAACCAAACATAATTCAAGTGCTAACCTGTTTGAAAAAATATATACCGGACATACAGTTTTCTATAAAAAAAGAAAACAACGTTTCGGGTTTAACAAAAGTGTTAAATGTGAAAACTGATCAATTTAATTTTTTCAATTATAAAGGCGACGTTTAAATATGAAGAGACAACAAGCAGGCATTGGAACTGGATATGAAGGTTCACGTGAACGTGAAAGAGAGAGAATAAACACAAGTTCGGATACGCGAAGTACCGCGAATATTCCAGCCTCCAGACATTCTGCCGAAGATTTAGCTAAAAACAAACGCGTGGCTAAAAGTCCAACTGAAGAGCCAATTGAGAAAAGAACTGATAAAACCTTTGCTAGAAATTCAGTTGAAGAAGTAAGTAAAAATAAACCCTTGAGGAAAAGTTCGAGTGAGGACCAGGGCAAAAGAAAAGACGTTGTGAAAACTAATGTTTCTAAGAGTTCGGATGAATATTTTGAATACAAATGCGACCCATGTAAAACTGCTGGGGACAACGCGGAGGCACAAGGGTTCTGCACTGACTGCGAGGAATATCTTTGTGACACGTGCTTCAATAGCCACTCAAGGAGCAAGGTATCGAAACACCATTCTCTATTAGACAGAGAAACCATGCCCAAAAAGTCTTTGAAAATATGTGACCCGTGTAAATCAGCAGGCGACATCAAAGAAACAGTCGGCTATTGCAAAGATTGTCGGGAATATATGTGTGAAACTTGTTACGTAAGTCATTCAAGAAGTAAACTATCGAGTAGTCATGTACTGGTGGACAATGCTGAAATGGCAAAAAAATCCGACCGTCCAATCTCGTCTTCTGTTTCCAAAATGGACATTAAAGATAAACAAGAGGCAAGTAAGCTCGACGTCAAAGAGGAATACACATATGTTTGTGATATAAAAGTGAAAGCACACTCTGACGAAAAAGACTGTTTTATTACCGGAATGACACTTTTCTCAAACACAGAACTTCTCGTTTGTGACTCAAATAATCATTCCTTAAAACTGATTGATATAGATACAAATATCGTGAGAGACGTTTTACCATTGAATGCAGAGCCAGGTGGAATAACGATGCTATCCAGGGACCAGGTGGCGGTTGTGATGTACAACAAATATCAGATACAAATTATTTCAATAAAGGGGCAACGTTTGTCAGTTGTCCAAACTATAAAAACGGACGGGAATTGCTTGGACGTATCGCTTAATGATGGCAAACTATACGTGTCATTTTGGAAACCTGTGAAGTTCCAAATACTGCAACCGTCAGGCGTTATAGTGCAGACGATCAAACCGGAAGCAGAAGTTCTGAAGAACTGCACCGTCCCGCGTCATATTGCTGTTCGATCAGACGGGAAGGTGATATATGTATCCGATTGGGAGACAAATAAACTCATGGCTATAGATATGAATGGTAAAATTGTGCACAAATACCAGGGTGAGCTAGAATACCCACATGATATCGATATCTACTCTCCACCAGGGGTCGTTTATCTCTGTAACAGGGATCAGCACGTGATGTACAAGATGACGTCAGACTTGAAAGAAAGTACGGTAATACTGGTACCAGGAGATGGACTGAGTTTTCCACAAGCGATGTGCTTCAATGCGAAGAAGAAACACCTGTATATTAGCAGCGGCAGTCTTCACGCCGAGTACAAAAATTTTGTTAAAGTATTTAAGTGGAAATAAAGCAAAATTGTCAAACTGAAATAAAATATAAAACATGAACTGGATTTATCAAGTTGAGAATAATCAAGGAAATTTATTCCTTTTAGTATGGATAAATCTACTACCGGCAAGATATAAGTAGTTACCAATTTTCTCTTCATACAAACAAACGTTTTTTGGATAATTGCTTTGTTATAGAAGTTATATTTTTTAACATATTTTTTTCCGGTTCCTGTTGTCCCAGAAGGAATTTCGGTACAATAGGCTAAACTCGTATTTACATTTATTGTATACTTATAAATTAAATATTAAGAAATATTTATGAAATAAAATGCGTTTTTTCATTATCCGTATTTTCACTGTAAAAAAATATTTTTTCACTGCAGTGAAAGATATGTTTGGTATTTTCACCGGAGTCTTGCTGGACTTTTTTCTAAATTAAGCCAATGCACAAAATGTTATGGGAAGTCTTTTAAGTTGTAATGTCAGAAAAGAGAAAAACATATTTAATAAACAGAAAATTCAAGTTTTTTCTGTAAATACATGATTTATTTTCATCTTGTGAACATCAAAAATGAATAAGAAATTTATGGCAAAATAACATCATAACACTGTATCTAACTGGTGAGAAGTTTTTCACTGTACGTACATAATAAAATATCTTTATTTGTTATTTCACAGATATATGTCTATATTTAGCTCCATGGCAATTAACGCTTTTCCAGTGTGCAAAAAAAAAAACGATTTATAAACTGAAATTAATTCCAATCGTTTTTCTTTTATTTATAAGCGTTTTAATTACCCTTACCGGCAACTGGACACCTTTAGGATAATCCGTCGATATTTGAGAGACTGTTACCTTCCCTATTTCGTCAGCTCATTCGTCAGTAGTTTAGAACTGCCCATCAAGTTATCTCCCTTACAGGAAGCGGTAATTTTGAAGATGCTTATAATTTACATCAACAACAGTTTTATCTAAAACAAATGTAGAATGACCCGTGCAACTCAGACAAACTCAAAAAATAATAACGCTTCTCCACAGTCACGAAGAAAGGGGCGTACTGTTGCCCGAAGAAGTGGTGCTAATGATGGAGACGCGTCAACTTCGCGAGGTTCTTAAGAATTTTTTTTATAAATTATCACTGATTATTTATTTTATAAAAAAAGTATCACTTAACTGTATTCAAAATCAAACTGCTTTGGTATTAGTAGTAATATGTGATACTAAAATTATAATTCATTAATTATATAATATATATTATAATTATATCATATATATTATGATTTATCGAATTAAACTTTAGCTTGAAATATGATTAGGGCCTTACTCATAATTAACCAAAATTGATTACATGTACAACACTTTTCTCAACATTCTTTCTTGAATTAAGATGTCAGTAATAATGGATTTACACATAAAATCTCAATACATTAGTATGATAAGTAAATTAGTAATTACTGTTTAATTAAAATTTTATTTCATTTTTTTTCATTTCTACCCTCTGGAGGCCAGTGGCTTTAAGGTCTTCAGCGTACCCAGTTATATATACAATGACATGATGTCACTCATTGACGTGAACACTGAAGACAGTCAGTTCATGTGTACCCTATGTCTTGGGAAAACAATGATACATCAATTATATTTACTTAGTGTCAAGTTTAACTATGCATGAGTTATCTCACCCTCCAACAATAAGTATTAGTGTAATGGAGTGGGTACAGGCCATATAACTGCTATTCAAAAATTTTAACTGTGCATGAGTAATCTACAACTAGCCATTTATGCACTGTTCATGAACAGGTTGATTCCGGTAATTCACAGCCGATTCTGGTAAGTCGTGTAACCCGAACAAATTTATCACTATTTGTGATTCTGTAATGTTATGCTGGTATCTAATTAGGGAGTGATTGTCTTCATATTGCCATATAAAATAAAATCAGGGTTTTTTTTTTTTTTTCAATTTTAGGGAAAAGGCCTGGCCTCTCAGGAGGTGAAAAAACGAGGAAAAAAATATCATTTTTGGGGGGAAAACCTTTGTATTAACTTCAAAATAACAACAGTCCAGACAGTCTGTTTAATTAACTAATTAATTTAGTACACAAGTACATACATGTGACAAATGAAATGGGCCAAATCTGGATTTTCAGCTGGATTTTGAGGCTCAAAACTGGATTTTTTTATCGACTCGAATTTCAGTGGGTGTTTGGCACATTTGGTTCAAAGAATCTATATTACCCTCAAAATCATTAAATGATAATACTTTTTATGATTTTTTTGTTGATCAATATTAATTTATTTCACCAAAAAAAAAAAATAAATAGATAAAAAAATAAGTGTAGTCATACTGGCTATTTCTAAAACAGTCACACTTTCACATTTCGATTTCATTATTTTCAGTTTAAAGAATTATAATGTCTTTTCAGTCATTCAATAATTAAACACAAGCTATTTGAAAACGTGCAACAACTATTCATAAACATAAGACTATGACAGTTAAATAACATAACATAAGTAAAAGACTCAAAATAAATGCAAGAATCGTTCTGTTATTAAATCCACATTTTTGCCTCGATGATTGCGTAATTCCTAAACAAAACAAAAAATTACCCACTCACTTAAAATAGGTTAATTAGACATCTCAAACAGGTTTTGAATGATCCACTTTAAATGATTCTGCTCCCCTTTTATCTTTATCAGTGCGGCACTAATCAAAGAAAATCAAAGGTTGAGCCGAATTCATACATGTAAATTTACAGGGTAGTTTTGATGACGTAGCGTGTAATACCTACTGCCAAATTACAAAAGAGGTCAATTGACTGACACACGACACGTGATTAGTTAAACATGTGAGAATAACTTTGGGTATTGGAACTGTTTATTACGTCACCTTGCTGTCAATTAGCGACTCAACATTTAATCCGCTATAATTTAGGATATGGACAGATAACAATCAATGCCCGGAGGCACGGTTTACATTTTAGATACAGGTGCTGTGTTTGATTTTTTTTATGTTGATTTTTTTTTAAATATCGGGAATTCAAGCTGTAATATCGGGAATCGGGATCAGTGTTGAAATATCGGGATTTTTTTAAATCCCGCCGGGATGTCACATGTATGCAAGTAAATCAAAGGAAGGAGAGAATACACATCAAACATCAGGATGGTTTATAACTGGTTTATTCTAGGATCTACCGGTTTAATTTAGTAATTAGATAACTGTTATAGATAAATGTTAACAACGGCGATTTGAATAAAAATTGCGATGTTTTTAAGGCAAACAAGCCATAAATGATTTTTATCAGATTCAGGGGAACTTTTCAGCTCGAGGGGAATTTTTTTCAGGTGGGTAAGTGGCTGTTAAACGGCTACAGTTACATATAGTAAAAAGAAAAAGAACCTGTAAAGGAACATAGTATTCTTGTGACGCATCAAAATAAATGATTGTAGTAAAAATGTACCTATGTTTATACATATACAATGTACATTATATATAACCAATATTATATTTTGTATCTATTTCAGCGGAAAGATCTGCTAGTACTAAAAAGAAAAGATTTAGACCCGGAACTAAAGCGTTAATGGAAATAAGAAAGTATCAAAAGTCAACAAATTTACTTCTCAGGAAAATGCCATTTGCGAGATTAGTAAGCATATTTAGATTATAATTTTAGACATTGATATTTGTTCTCATCAGCTGAGCCATTTTTATGTTCCCCAAAGCAAGAGCATATAGCCGGCACTTTGTCGCCATCCATCTATCTGTCACACTGTTGTCTAGAGAATATCTTGAATTGAAAGAGTTTAATTATAATTTCACACAATGATAGAGACTTATAGACACTACATAACTTTGTTTTTGAATTATCTCTCTTGATAATACATAATTTTACTGAATTATCTCCCTTCATGTTATACAATTTTATTGAATTATTTCCCATCATTACATACAATTTTATTGAATTATCTCCCTTCATGATATATAATTTTATTGAATTATCTCCCTTCATGATACACAATTTTATAGAATTATCACCCTTCATGATATATAATTTTATTGAATTATCTCCCTTCATGATACACAATTTTATTGAATTATCTCCCTTCATGTTACACAATTTTATAGAATTATCTCCCTTCATGATACATAATTTTAATGAATTATGTCTCCCTTCATGATATATAATTTATTGAATTATCTCCCTTCATGTAACACAATTTTATTGAATTATCTCCCTTGATACACATTTTTTTTATTGAATTATCTCCCTTTATGATATATAATTATCTCCCTTCATGTTGCACAATTTTATATAATTATCTCCCTTCATGATATATAATTTTATATAATTATCTCCCTTCATGATATATAATTTTATATAATTATCTCCCTTCATGATATATAATTTTATTGAATTATCTCCCTTCATGATATATAATTTTATTGAATTATCTCCCTTCATGTTATACAATTTTATTGAATTATCTCCCTTCATGATACATAATTTTATTGAATTATCTCCCTTCATGCTACATAATTTTATTGAATTATCTCCCTTCATGATACAAAGAAATTAAAAAGAAATGATCTTTCAAGTTTATCTTGCATTATGATTATCATGACTGATGCTCAGATTTTAAGAAAGAAAAATCACCTTTGTAGCTTGCAACCTTCAACATTGATTGAACAATAAAATTTGAAATATGTCACTTAGGGGTGTAATCGATTCAATCGATATCGGTGTATCAATGATCTTTGTTATCCGATTCGATATTGATTCCATTTTTTTAAATATCGGATATCGAATGCACACACATATTTCTAGCTAAAGAGACTTCAGCAAACAGGTTTTATAGTACTGATAGACCAAACGTCAAAATAAAAGAGACATAAAGTTATGGAAGCTAGAACTTTCATATTTCAAACATTTTTTTTTTCTAAATCGAAAACGGAAATCAACACCAGAGTTACCTCCCAGTGTCGCTAACAAATGCTGCCGAATTTCGTTGTAATCTCAAATGTCTGCTAAAGTGGGGGTCAAGACCCCCCAATTCAGATTTTTAAAACGAAAAATGCCAAGAAAAATATTTTGTAAGTGTTTCTTTGTAAAAATTATGATAACATATGTTAAACTTTTATAATTATTCCGGTTCTAAGCACAATAATTTGCCAATTAAACCCCAGCTTCCTAATGGAACAGCAAGGACGGGATTTTGTATAATCTGTAACTATGTAATGGCAACAACAACAACAAAAGTAAAATGGAAAAGGCTTTAGACATTATTGTTACTAGTCATTAGTTGTCATTAAAAGTTATAATGATAAAAAAAAGAAACAAATTGTTCATTTTTCATAGTTTATTTATTTTTTTGCATGTGTTTAAATATAACTGCATATTAAATCAAATTAAAAAAGACTTGAAAGTTAATTTTGCCTGGCAATCGGTATATCGCTGTATCGCCAATAATTCATTACCGATATATCAATACGAAAATCCTTATCGATGACACCCCTAATGTCACAGAAAAAAACAGCATTTATATCATAATTTTTGTATCAATCATAATTTTGTATTTCGTTTGAACCTAGTTATTATATTGATAGATAATGTTGTTTTCTTTATTTCAGGTGAGAGAGGTTTGTGTAGACTTGTTTCCAGGAACAAATCATTTATGGACTGCCCATGCTTTATTAGCTATTCAAGAGGTACATTATTTTGCACAGTTGTAAGGCAAGGGGCATTATTCTGGATGGCATGCTATGTATTTGGAGTTGTGCCCCCTTTTCAAAAGTGCTTATATTTGAATGATTTCAAAACTATGAGATATCAATGAGAAACTAGGAACACTTGATGATCATGATAAAGGGCAGATGTAAAACAAGGAACATTATCCTAAAGGCAATATATTAGAGTTATGCCCCTTTTTAACTTAGAATTTTTGTCAAAATTTCCTTTTTAGTAGAATGATTTCAAAAGTATGAAAGATATAAAACTAAGTTGGTTTAAACAAATTTATTTAAGCTCAATTGCGAAACAAGTTCTTGCAACTATTATTAATCACTTTCGAGTCTGCTTCCTTGAACCAACCAGTACTGGTGTCATATGAAGAAACATGGCCTTGACCTTAGTAGGGCTTGATCTCTGGGTTGAGAGACAGAGACCTTAACCACTAGGGCACTGCTTCCCTTAAAACTTAGTTGTAATGGCAACGCACTGTTGAAAGACCAGGGACATTCAATTTTTGCACAACCACTAGAATGGAAGTAACCTACATAAAATGCAGGAAAAATAATGCATCGTTAATCTTGATTTGTGAATTATCTGCATACTGAAATAAGCAAAAAAAAATTTATTCAAGGGCAGATTACTTTAAATAAGGTCAATGTCCACCTCAACCCCATTTTCATTTTTTTCTTGCTTCGACTTTTCTGTTATCAAATTCAAAGACTATGTTAAGTCTTGATAATTTCTATTGTGTAGTTTTCATTCTGTTATATGTAACCCTGTCTGAATTTCTTTCAGTACATACAAAGTTTTTATAAACGTTTTAACAGTTCTGATATAATCATTCATTTACTTAAGCGATTATTTGGTTTATGACTGGTGGACATGCGACGGGAATCAAACCTGTGTTTTGCACCTGTTAATTTTGGAATGAGATATTGTAATAAAAAATTTGAACATTCTCTGCAATATGACGTCATATTTTTTTCCTTTTCAGGCTGCCGAAGCTTATCTCGTTTACCTTTTTGAAGATGCAAATTTATGTGCCATACATGCCAAACGAGTGACAATTATGCCTAAGGACATTTTTCTAGCACGTCGTCTACATGGAGGAATGTATTGAAAAAGTGTTCTTTCTGATGAAATCTTTAGTTTTAAACATTTTATGAATTTCTTGTCACAATGAATTTCTCTTGAACATTTGAAATTGATCAATTCTTTTTAAAGATATATTGAAAAGATTCGATAGACCTTTAATGAAATCAAGAGAAAAGTTTTTGCTTCGGTTTGGCGCCAAGACGGGTTGGAATGAAGGAGATGTTTTTTAATGCATATTTTTAATATTATAAAATATAACAATACATAATGTATTATGGTATTAAATTTTTAACTTTTAACAAATTTGTTCAGTGTGTTAGTAGATGCTACAGCAATTTTTGGGAAAGAGTTCGCTTTCGTTCTAATTGTGGAAAAACATGCCGCTGAAAATTGTGAAATTTTTGGACGAAATGTCAATATTTTTGATTGGGAAGTGTCGTTCTTGACCCAAACAAAGAAAGAAAAAAGAATCTCATAATCTCACTTCATAAGGTTACTTCTAAGGCTATCTATATGTATTTTGGATTTTGACTTGCCTTAGAAATAAACCACATTGGCAAGCAACAAGGAACTAATTCATCATATTTGTGAGGGACCAGGGTTATATAAACAAATTTACAATATAGTCAAGCAAGTTTTTTTATGAATCATTTAGACAAGCATTAAGAGGTTGTATAAAACATGGACAAACAACCAAGGGTTTATAAATCATATGGTCTTGGTTATATTGCCCATATAGGCCTGGGACCAGGGATTTATTAAACACATTTGGTTGAACAAAGGGTTTCATGAGTCTTATGTGACTTCAATAAAGGGATGCATTGCCCATATCAGCATGCAACAATGGGTTTTATGAGTATAGTTTATGACTGTGTGTAGTATTATGTTTTAGAAAAGTAATAGTGCTGAAACAAAAAGGTGCAAATTTAAACTTAAATCATTATTACATGTATACCCACACCACATAATGTGGAGTGTGCTATAGGGAATCACATCTGTTTGGTCAAACAGTTTGTCCATATATCTCCATCTAGTCTGCTCAATAAATCCTTTACGCCAAGAAGAATTTTCTTCAAACCTAAAACTGGGGATGTGCAGATTCCATGCCACAGCTGTGCCAGCTCAAGGTCAAAGTCACCCTTGAAGGTCAAAGCTCAGATATCAGACAAAAAAATTGTGCCATCCTGATGACTATTTTTGGCAACCGTGTTAATCTTTTCATCATGGTCCATTTTTAGCTTGACTATACGAAGTATATGGAGAGCTGTCCTACTCGCCCCGGCGTCTGCGTCCAGATTTCATATTATAGTTTTGGTTCAGTAAAATATTTTTCACTATAACTTTGTCATTTCTTAAGGTATCAACTTCAAACTTCAAATATATGTTCCTTATCATCAACCACATCTTATGTGACAAGGTTCATAACTCTAGCACCAATATTTTCAGATTTATCTCCCCTTGAACTTAGAATTTTCCTTAAAAAATACTAATTTTTACTGTTACTTCTTTATTTCTTAAGGGATCAACCTGATACTTCAAATATATGTACGTTATCATCATCCCCATCTTATGTGACAAGGTTCATAACTCTAGCACCAATATTGCAAGAATTATCTCCCCATCAACTTAGATTTTTTTACTAGAAAATGTTATTTTTTACTATAACTTTTTTAGTTTTAAAGGTATCTACCTCAAACTTTAAATATTTATTCCTTATAATCAATTATATTTTATGTGACAATGTTCGTAACTCTTGAAGTAATTTTTACAGATTTATCTCTCTTTGAACTTAGGATTTTCTTTAAGAAATATTATAACTTTGTTACTTTTTAAGGTATCTACTTCAAACTTCAAATATATACTTCTTATCATTACAAACATGTTTTGTGACAAGGGTCATAACTCTAGCGTGACTATTTCTAGAATTATTTCCCTTGATCTTGGAATTTATTTTAACAAATGTTATTTTTGTGCCCCCACGTTAGTGGCGGGCATTTAGATTTACCCTTGTCCGTCCGTCCTTCCGTCCGTCCGTCCGTTCACTTTTGTGTCGCACGCAACTCAAAAAGTATTTGACCTAGAGTCATGAAACTTTACAGGAATGTTGATCAGCATGTGTAGTTGTGCACCTGGGTATTTTCGTCTAGATATTTTTAGTATTTTCAGAGTTATTGCCCTTGACTTAGTAAAATTTTGCAATTGTCAACTTGTGTCGCATGTAACTCAAAAAGTGTTTGACCTAGAGTCATGTAACTTTACAGGAATGTTGATCAGCATGTGTAGTTGTGCACCTGGGTATTTTCATGTGGATATTTTTAGTATTTTCAGAGTTATTGCCCTTGACTTAGTAAAATTTTGCAATTGTCAACTTGTGTCGCATGTAACTCAAAAAGTATTTGACCTTGTGTCATGAAACTTTACAGGAATGTTAATCAGCATGTGTAGTTGTGCACCTGGGTATTTTCGTCTGGATATTTTTAGTATTTTCGGAGTTATTGCCCTTGATTTAGTAAAATTTTGCAATTTTCAACTTGTGTCGCATGTAACTCAAAAAGTATTTGACCTAGAGTCATGAAACTTTACAGGAATGTTGATCAGCATGTGTTGTTGTGCATCTGGGTATTTTCGTGTGGATATTTTTAGTATTTTCAGAGTTATTTCCCTTGACTTAGTAAAATTTTGCAATTTTCAACTTGTGTCGCATGTAACTCAAAAAGTATTTGACCTAGGGTCATGAAACTTTACAGGAATGTTGATCAGCATGTGAAGTTGTGCACCTGGGTATTTTCGTGTGGATATTTTTAGTATTTTCAGAGTTATTGCCCTTGACTTAGTAAAATTTTGCAATTTTCAACTTGTGTCGCACGTAACTGAAAAAGTATTTGACCCAGAGTCATGAAACTTAACAGGAATGTTGATCAGCATGTGTAGTTGTGCACCTGGGTATTTTCGTGTGGATATTTTTAGTATTTTCGGAGTTATTGCCCTTGACTTAGTAAAATTTTGCAATTGTCAACTTGTGTCGCACGTAACTCAAAAAGTATTTGACCTAGAGTCATGTAACTTTACAGGAATATTGATCAGCATGTGCAGTTGTGCACCAGGTATTTTCGTCTGGATTTATTTAGTATTTTTAGAGTTATTGCCCTTCACTTAGAAAATTTTTGCAATTTTCAACTTGTGTCGCAAGTTACTCAAAAAGGATTTGACATAGTCATTAAACCTTATTGGCAGGTTGCTCAGCATATTTAGATTTGCACCTGGGGTTTCGCTTGTGGATTTATCCAGTATTTGTAGAGTTATTTCCCTTGACTTAGTAAAAAGATTGACAGAACAGTGGTGCGGTGGGGGCACCCGTGTTCTATGGACACATTTCTAGTTTTACTATAACCTAATACATAATTATACATAATTGGTTTTTCTTTCACAGTTTTGTCCTTACTGCGTCCAGTATTTTATTAGTCGAGCTTCGCTGTCTCCTGTGACAGCTCTTGTTAAATCCTATGCCTCTTTAGGCATTTTTTTCAAACTGGCTCAAATGTTCACTTATATAAGGCATTGTGCAAAATGCAGCCACTGTCAAGGTCACCCTTGAAGGTCAAATTAGAACATTTTGTATCTGTACTATGAATTCAATGCTCTAATATTTTCTATTGTGCCATAGAGATCAGGTGAGGTTGCCATTCTTGTGGCAGCTTCCACTGTTTTTCAGTTAAAGATACTGTATGTTGTAATTAAGGACGTAACAACACATGAAGTTTTATATATGTATATAATTATTCTTCTTAAATAATTTTCAAACATCCAAGAATATGTTTAATATGTTCTGCAAATGTTTATTAGCATTATAAGTAATCATAAAGATATAAGCATTCATTTCTTATTGAAAAATTTGGCTTAGACTTCATTGAAAATAAAATTCTAATTACCTCCCTTTATTTACATGAAATGTAAATTTGGTAATACATGTATCTTTACAAATAATCCTTTTTGGATGCATAATATTGATAAATCTTCATTTGAGCATCAGATTTATAATATAAAACCATTAAGAAAAATGAGTTACAGGATCTTCAATTACAGAATAACTTACAATATTTGCATGTTTTTCATCTTTTGAAAATAGTGATTATATAAAGTGTGCTAGACATGTTTTTACATTTCTTTAATAATTGCATTGCTTTAAGTTTTACATCTTTACATTCTAGCCTTTTTTGACATGACATCTATCAGGGGCTATTGTTGCCAACACTTTGTTGACCCATGTCATGCATTCTCTTCATAGCTGTTACCCTTATACAACTTTAAATTCATTTTTAGCTCGACTTTTCTATGAAAAGGGGAGCTATCCTACTCGCCCCGGCGTCGGCGTCGGCGTTGGCGTCACACCTTGGTTAAGTTTTTCGTACCACCCCACTTTATTTCAGAAGTATTACAAGTATGGCTTTGAAACTTACCATACTTGTTCACCATCATAACCTCCATCTACAGACAAGAGTACATAACTCTGTCAAGGTTTTTGACAGAATTATGGCCCTTTTTTGACTTAGAAAGTGTATTGAGCTTGGTTAAGTTTTTTGTACCACCTCACTTTATTTCAAAACCATTGGAGGTATTGCTTTGAAACTGACCATACTTGTTAACCATCACGACCTTCATCAACAGACAAGAGGACATAACTCTGTCAAGGTTTTTGACAGAATTATGCCCCTTTTTGACTTAGAAAATACATTGAATATGGGTAAAATCCACTTATTGCCTTAACCCTTTGAGATATTGCTTTGAAACTTTTAATGCTATTTCACATCATTACCCCCATCTGTACGCAAGAGAAGGTAACTCTGTCAAGGATTTGTTTTAAAAATTAAGGCCTTTTATCGACTTAGAATCTTGGTTAAGTTTTTAGTACCAGTCCACTTTTTTGACTGAACTGTTTGAGATATTAATTTGAAAGTTGGAATACTTGTTTACAATCATGATTCCCAAACATGTCCAGGAGAAGGTAATTCTGTCAAAGATTTTATTTGAATTATGGCCCTTAACTGTCAATGTTTTGTATTATAGGCAAGCACTAAAAAACTTAAAAAATCTAAAAAAATTCATTCCTATCCACTTGTTCACTTTACCATAAATTATGTCATATAAACATTGCTGTAAGGGTATCACACAATTCAGTAAAATAATTCTTCACTAAATATCTTAATGCTCATGGCCATTGTTCACTTTAAAAATACAGAGATTCTTGTATTGCCTTTTACTGCAAAAACTTTTTTTATTGGCAAGCAATAAAAAAGTCGAGCGCGCTGTCTTACGGACAGCTCTTGTTTGTTAAGGGCTACCCTCTTCAGGATTATTTGACCTACTGACCTACATAGATAATAACT